AATCCATTTATATATGATATGAAAATGAATACCAGCTGAAGTAGAACTCCATTATTAAATATATTTCAATCACTCAGGCAAATCAGGTCCTCTCAACCTGTATACTCCACTCCACCCCAAATATGTATATACTATGATAATATTGTTAATAAAACACAAAAGTGGAAAAGAAAAGTAGCTGACATTTAACTTAGGTTATCATGTCTAATTTTCACAACAGACCTTTAAGGTAGCCTCCTTTATACCCATTTTATAAATGAGAAAACTAAGACTGAGGACACATTCATTATGCAGAGTCCTAGAAGCCAAGGTTTGACCCTGGGTCTGCTGACTTTGAAACCCCTGTGTTTTTTTTTCATCAAAGTAATAGAGGTGATCATTTTCTACCTCCACTTCCAAAATTATACATTTTTCCATACTCTTGTCTAATTACTGTTTAGAATGGATATTGCAAAAGTTCTTAACATCTCTGGCCTAAGTTTTTACATCTATAAGCAAGAGTCAGCCTGGATGGGCTCCAGGATTCTTAAGCCTTTCACGCTCTATAATTATTTTTCAAATTTATAACTGAAAAAAGATACTAGTTTAATCATTTTGCTAATTAATCTCATCATGTAAAGATATTTAGAACAACTGGAGTTGTCAGGATTGCTTATGCAAAAGAAGAGAAAAGCCTCAAAGGACAGAATGCAGAGAAGTGTCAAAGTGATCTTCAGATATTTTAAAGGCTGATGCCACACAGAACAGGGGTTGGACTTAATCTTTTGGGCCTCAAGGAATGGAACTAGGACCAATGAAGAGACATTCTAGACTTCTGCTTTCTCATCAACAAAACCACCTGCCACATGAGACCCCGCAGTGACTGCTTCACCAGAATAACTGGACCAGAAACTTTTAAGATTATTACCAATAATGTAATAATTGATTGGATTGTAGACAGGCCTTACATGTTAGCCCTGTGAAGGATATTTTAAGCACCTTAGTCATCAATGAGTAAGTGAAAAAGATAAGGAAGCGGGGGTGCAAAAGGGAACATGAGACTGGAAAATTTATTATAGAAGACCCCATAGCCCCCCCATCTACTATAGACCCTGCCTCCTACCCCGGAACTTCCCAGCAGTCTCCATGTTCATCAAGCTGGGTTGGCTTGCTGAGTGCAGCCTCTGGACCACCTGGGGAACTTGGCTGTCTCTCCCCTTCTCTTTCAGATGTTCACCTCCACGATATTTGCTGTGATCGGATTCTTGGGTGCTGGATACTCCTTTGTCATCTCAGCCGTCTCAATCAACAAGGGTCCTAAATGTCTCATGGCCAACACCACATGGGGATACCCCTTTCACGATGGGTAAGGCTACTCCCTTGCAGTGCCTGTGTGTCACCATCAGGGTGTGGGGCAGGTAAATCACCCAGCAGGAGATGCTGCAAAGTGTCATGTCATCTTCCTTACGTGGGTCTCAGGCTTGTCACTCCCCTGAGGCAGAGCTGGAGTTGTGGAGTGTGCAGGGTTGCATAGGACCTCACCTGCAAATGCTCTTCTGACAGACACCAGAGAAAACAATGGAAAAAGGATGCCTCAGTTGGCCTGAGAGGAGGAGATCTGTGGTGTCACCACTCACATGCAAATCTTCATTAAAGGCATAAAGATTTGATATTGATTAAATATCAAATCTGGTGATATTGATAAACAGAACAATGGTTTTGTTACAAATCTTATAATAGAAAACAAGAACGATTACTCACTAACTGGGCTCATGGGCTTTGATTAACACCTTGAATTGCCTATAAATAAATAATTTTTTAAGGTGCAAATTTACAGAAAATGACATTGAAAACATTCTAGTTTCTTCCAGTTAATGTTAATGAGCTCTTTAAAATAACATTTCATATTTTCGTGGTACTTTGTAGCTCATGAAGAACTATTTTCCCCCCATGAATTTATAATTTCCTCTCCTTAGCAACCCCAAGAGGTAGTTACTCTCTGCCAATGCAGGCTTAATACGTTTAATTTGCTCAAAGTCACACACAGCTGGAGGCAGAGGCTGGGCTCAAAATCAGCTGTTCTGACTTCGAACCTTCCCCTTCCCTCCTGCACACCCTCCTGCCCTGTACCTCATTGCTAGCACAATAGCCAGGAACCACTTAAATTCATTCAAATGGAATAAAATTAAAAATTCAAATTCCTCAGTCATACTAGCCATATTTCAAGTAGTCAGTGAGCCACGTGAGGGCTTGTAGCCTCTGTATTAAATCATGCAGATATAGAACATTTCCATCCTCATGGACAGGTCTGTTCAACAATGACTTGGAACAGACTACAACAATGACTGTTGACAGGTCTGTTCAACAATGACTTGGAACAGACTACTACAGTGACTGCTATTCCGCTCAGTCTCTGACCCTCTGCCTAGTGCAGTGATTGGCACATCCTCGGGAATCAAGAAATATGATTGTTAGGTCTTCCTGCATGGGAAGGCTGGATCTATGCCCCCCAAATCTGTAGAACACCAATACGGTAACTGGAATCCCTATGTACTCATTTACCATGAGATTCTAAAGAACCTCAAGAACCAGCTTCAGGTTGGGGAGGGAGAGCGAACTGGTTCTGTTGTGATGTGGGTCTCAGTTTGTTCAGAGGTATCTCCTGAAATATCCCCACCTCATACTCAGAGTTAAACAGTAGGAATATCCACCATCCTCACAGCACATGCAGGTCCCCAACCCCACTCAGGTCAGTGTGTCAGGCCTTCTTTGGGGTGTCTTCTTTTGTGGGCCTTCTTTCGTGTGCATCTTGCTCCACTCTCTCAGCCACCTGGCAGACTTACCACAGCATTCCACTGTCTCCTGGCACCCCGTTTCCCATCTTCTGAGACAAAAGCTCACTTCCCTTTTTATTCTCATCTCCCACTGCAAACCCCCCTCTACCTGCAAAAGCTCATCTCGATTGAGTTTCAGTCTTGGTTTGTGTTTTGCAATTAACAAAGTGCTGCCACCCACCATATGTCATTTAATTCTCGCAAAAATAGTTGTATGATTCTTAACTCTCCCTCAGACATAAGAGAGCCAGACAGGACGAGTGACTTGCCCAAAGAAGAATCGTTTTCTAATGACTAAAGCCCGAATCCAAGTTGTCGGACTTTGAGTCACAGTGCTTTTTTTAAGAACACAATTTATATTAATTCACACTACCTGCCTTTTGCCTAGATGCCTAGGTAAGGAGAGGGCTCCAACAGTAGGAGACAATTGGCCACCCCTACCCTGACCCTGAGCTGCTGTCTCCTACTCTTTTTGACTAAACTGTAGACTCTTCTTTTCCATCAGA